TTTACATGTCAATGCATTTTAACGGTTCAGCCACATTCATAAGAGCCGTGCCACCATCGCCACAACCCATTCCAGGGCATTTCTTCTCCCAGTCCTGAAAGGTCTTCGTTTGATTTTGCTTTCTTCTCCCATAAAATCTTCTTACCACGAACTAACCTACCGTTAGATTTTCCTGGTTTTGTTTGACAAAATGCACACATCTTCTTTTTGTCTCAGGTCCCACAAAACAACCCGGGTTGACCCTTGATTTAAAATGTTGATGCTGTGTTCATTCTATGCTATGTAGATTGCACTGAACTACTTCTCTGGGCCACTGAGATTGTGGCGCCCCGTGGGGACACACTGAGGGCTCATGCCGGACTCGCCTCATCCTGGTTTGGGCTGTAAGGTGCTTGCTCAGGTATTGCACAGGTGAAGTTCCCTATTGTTCACTGCAAGGTTTGCTGGTTGGAACCCAGACAATGATTCCTTGGGAGAAAGATTTGGTGCTCTGCTCTCAGAAGGAAAAGTGGCGGCCTTGATTCTGGGCATAGGGGCTGTGAACCTACAGGCCACCAAGGTTACATAGGGTAAGATAATCCATAAGATGATCTTCTACATCCCATCTTGGTGAGAATCAACTGAGGTCTTACACACTCAAGTGCAGCCATCTAAGGTACAACCATTGGTCTCTCTCCATCTGGATGAAAATCAAAGGCACGTGGAGATCTAATTAGTCCAACGGACTAATTAATGGCAGCCTTCGCCACCCTGAGACCAGAAGACTCCAACTCCTTTGAAAAGGATCACAGCAGAAGCTCCTGTAATCAGTGGGAGAGAAGAGGTGGAATGAAATTCAATTTCCTTTAAGCAAAATAAGAAAGAAGAGCTGTCATAGTTGGAAAAAGACTGGCGGGACCCTCGAGTCTATAGCCCTTAGGCTCCAAAAAAAGGTCTGGAAATGCACTTGCCCCAGGGCTCAGCTTTCAGCTCAACAATAGATAGATAGGCCGGTAAAAGGGATCCCGCACTAGGGAGGCATGCACTCCTTAGATGAGCAACCCGTTGGAGAGCAAAGGGGCAGCATTTACCCAGGGAAAAGCCCCGAACGAGCAAATCTGTCTAGGGAGAAGTACAGCCAGAATGCTCCGTCGAAGCAGGTATGACAAGAAGACTTCATCTCACATACTTGGCACGTGTTAGCAGGAGAGACCAGTCCCTGGAGAAGGACATCATGCTTGGTGAAGCCGAGGGGCAGCTGAAAAGAGGAAGATCCTCAAGGAGATGGATTGAGACAGTGAGCTCACACTTAACCATTGTGAGGATGATGGGGGACCGGGCAGTGTTTCCTTCTCCTGTTCATAGACCCGGAGCCCAGGTGGCATAGTGGCTCCTTGTTGAGCTTCTAACCACAAGGTCAGCGGTTCCAAACCACCAGGTGCTCTACAGGAGAAAGAAGAGGCTTCCGAGTCCTGTTAAAAAATCTCGGTAACCCACAGAGACAGTTCTACCCTGTCCTACAGAGTCACTATGAGTCGGCATCCACTCAGCGGGTGTGAGGTGTTTTTATTGTACGGCACAATGAGTCGGAACAAGACTACAAAAGCACGAGTCAGAATGAGCTGGCTTTTTGTGTTTGGGGGCGATGGCCTAGTCTTCTTTGTAAGATCATTTTCTTGGGGGCTCGTACAGCTCTTAGAACAATCCACACATCAATTGTATCGAGCCTATTTGTACGTATGCTGCCATCATCATTTTCTAAACATTTACTTTCTGTTTGAACCCTTGGTATCAGTTCCTCCCCGCCCCCCTCACCTCCGTGAGCCCTTGATAAATTATTATGATTTTCATATCTGACACCGACCGCTGTCTCCCTTCACCCACGTTTCTGTTGTCCGTCCCCCTCAAGGGGGCAGGGGGGCTATATGTCAATCATTGCCATCGGTTTCCCCCTTTCCCCCCTTACCTCTACCCTCTTGGTATCGATATTCCCTTTCCGGTTCCTGAGGGGTTTGTCTGATCTGGATTCCATGTGTCATGAGCTCTTAGCTGTACCAGTTTACATACTCCAGTCTAGCCAGAACT